GATAACATATACCTATATCTCTTTTCATCATTTCTAAATCTTGGGGTAACCTAGTATGGATGTTTCAAATAGAAATGTCTCTCATAGATAGACTCACATACTTGAATACTTTGTCTCCAGGTAGTAGCCAGTTTGGGAAAGTAGTCCAGCCTTGCTAGGGGAAGTATGTACTGAAGGTGGGTTCTGGAAGTTCATAACCTCACTACACTTCCAATTTGTTCTACATGCATTGGTCGAGGTGATCTCTCAGGTCCTTGCTACAACTGCCTGCTGCCATGCTGAAAACCTGAGCCAAAATAACTATTTTTTTTTATAAGTTCCTTTGGTCAAGGTAAAAAAAAAGTCCAAAAAATTAGAGAAGCAACTAAGGTTTTGTACCAATTTAATTGTCATTTGGTGCCAAAAATAGTTAACCATTTATACTGTATTTAGGATATATTAGGTTATCTTGTATTTATGTTTGTAATGGTCCCAAGAATGGTGATGAAGCCCAGTTTTCTAGATAAAACTTGAAGACTTAACTTGCATTTATTGAATATTTCTTGTACAACTAATATATTGTAAAACTGAGTTTATAGAGGGGTGTGCACCCAAAGGGCTATCTTGTTTAGATTTTTAGTGACATTTAATTTTATGTTTTGTTTCAAAGTACTACATTGCTTTGCAGATGGTTGATAAATGGTTGTTTTTGTCATCTGTGCTGTTGCTATCCTGACTCCTACTATTTGATCTGAACATTTTAGTTAATTTTTAATAAATAAATTAAGGTGAGATCTTGACACTTCAAAAAAAAAAGAATGTAACCTTTTGATGGGTTTTACCATAGGTACAAACGATTAAGACAAATTGACATTGGAGATTTATAGGTCTTACCTGAGGAATTCCTGCTTGAGAGGCTTCAGTAGACTGTCCATATGGATATTGTTACTGCTCAGTGGTTTGAACATTATTGACTTTGCTTTTTATTTGCTTCTGGTCTACTTGGCCAGTTTTCATCTGGAGCAAGCTAGCAAAAGTGAGCACAGAAATCGAGACAGCGGCTCAGTGAGAAATAGGCGCTGGACAACCAAGAAACTCCTCAGGAAACCCCAGATGGGGGGCACATGGACCAGATGGCCTAATTCATGAGGCTATTTCCTATAAAACAAACCGTTGGAAATTACACACATCTTAGGAAAAACTAGAAAGTCCTTTGTCCTTGTCTAAGTAAATTTTTACTTTTTCTCTTTGGATGTAATCCCACAAATTGTTTGAAGTCAAAGTTAACATGTGTGTAGCTGAACCTAAAGCCGTCCCATGATAATGACTTAGGACACCACGTCTAACAGTGGGGGAGAACAGCGCACTGTCAAATGTGGCTGTCGGGTGGTTGTTAGTGCTGTGACTCTTCTGTGTCATACATGACAGTCACCATTTCTCTCTAGAGAATGCAACAAGAGAGAACCCATACACCATTTGTTTTGACGGGAAAACTCGACAGCCTTTATTATGAGTCACACTGACTTTGTTATGAAACACTGACTTAGGCACTCCTGTATGTTGCTATACCAATCAAATATTCATGAGAATGATATGAACACACGCCAAAGAGTATGTATGAAACAGGGAAGATGTGCTTTTTATCTGTAGACACAGATTAGTGTCTTTTAAATATTTAAATCGTAGTCACTAGTAAAGTAGGTGATGTGGTAGTGGACTAGGGTTGGAGGCGCTAGAGGAACATGGTGGTACCTTCCAACTCTGGAAGCGCTTCTTCTTCCTAGCAGTTATAGTTTAGGAAATATTTGGAACCAGGGAAAGCATATTTGTCCTTAAAAAATGGAAATAAAAGCAAGATATTTACACTAATGCTGAAAAGGTGAACGTAAAGGGAGGAAGGCAAGGAGTTTATACAACGCCTCAACCTCATCGCTTCCTTAGAATAGCATAGCTCCATTGCTCTGTTGTTCAGATAACTCATTGTTTTAATGAAAAACCACATAGAATTGAGAAATCTAATTTTCAAATTGGCGCTCTCCTTCCGAAACAGTGTCCAGGGAATATTGAAGTTAGTGTCTTGTATTTCTGTTGTCCTTTATCTGTATAAACAAAAGAGACACAGTACCTTGTTCTTCTGCCATGCCTTAAATTGAGAAAATTTGGCCTTGAAAAACTTTAATAAGAAGAAAACCTTTGAACGAGGTTGTTGCCAGATCCCTCAGCTCATGACAACATCTGTAATATCTGTCCTCTTTCCTTCTGCTTGGGAGACACAACCCCTGCTGGAGCATGATTCATCCCTTGTCTGAAGAAATGCCTTCATCCCTCCCTTTCTGCCTCTCTGCCTCTTAGTTTCTTCCCACTCCTGTAGCATGAAGAAATAGCCGCCAGATTAAGTCTGTGTGGTTCCAAGTATGTCATGTTTTTGTTAAAGTCAGTTGCTTGGCTTTAGTTTCCTTCTTACCCTTCTCATTAGGTCAAGTGACTTGCTTTTGCCTAATATCTGCACTTCGCTTGACTCTCACTGCTGGCTTTTCCCAAACATCTATTGTCCTCTCAGTATTTCTTGCTCGTTAACTGTAGTTTGACAAGTGGCCAGGCCACTTCAGCGCCATTCCACTCAAATAAAACTGTGTCCCGGTAACATAAACAGGAGCTGTGGCCATCAGAAGGCATAGGAAACAACAGTGCATTATATGTATTTTCATCAACTAAACAAAAGAATTTGTTTAGAAGCCTTAACATTCTAAAAAGAAAACTGGGTAGTTTTTCTTTATGACCTCTATCATAGTCTTCAAAATTGATTTAGGTTAAGGAGTATTATCATTGATCCTTATTGTGTGTTAGTGAGCCTATACTATCCTAAGCATTTGATTTAGCTGCCTGTATAAAGCTCATACACAAAACACTGAGATCCTATCCATATCTTTAATAGAACCAGCCATTTTTCATTTTTTCCCTTTTAAATTTATTGAATGTCTAATTTAATACTCTGCTAAGTAAGCATGATCTTGTATTAGAGAAAGCAGTTAAAAATGTAACGTTCTTTTTTTAAATTTTATTTTATTTAAGTAACATTTCTTAAATTTATCTTACATACAAACCACAGTTTCCCCTCTTTTCTTTCCTCCTGTTCCCTCCCGCCGACTTCCATCCACTCTTCCTCTGTCTTCAAACTGTAACATTCTTATCACACAAGCTTGCAAAGACTCTGGCTGGGTCTTTATTATATATTCTTTTAAAAACAACTTTGATAAATAGTAACCCACATTTCAGGATACTGTCCTTTCATGATTTAGGCATCAAGAAGAAGTAGGTTGTTGGTTATAGTCATATATTCTTCAAACATTCAGACAAAACATTTGTAACATAAAGCAAAAGTAATAAATTAATTGAAAATATTAAAAAGGAAAGAGGCAAAATAGGAAGAAGTGGAGAAGTGACATTCTTAGATATGTTCCACCATAACTCTTGTCCAGTCCAGTGCATTCCATGATTTCAGGAAGTGAGGTCTGTGAGGACAGAGGCTCTGGCGTTTTCAGAAAGTGGCACATTTTTAGCACATTCAATAAAAGCTACTGTTAGTAATGATGGCAGCGTAATTTCCCCTGTGCCCTGTGTTCTTTTTATCTGCATCATTCCCCAATTCGTATACACTCTCATTTCATCAAGGTATTGATATAAAATCCATATATACATATTACGTTGGATACGAAAGGTGTGGATGAATCGTGTTTGACAAAAATACACATAGCCCATTTGGATTATTATAGCTTTAAAGACTAGACACAGAATAAAAATATTAAAGTATTAATTAAACAAAAAATACAGATTAATTGTAATCTGTTCCCTAGTATAAAAGTGTTTTGCTTAAAATTTGTGTGTTATGTGTACTGAAGACCAAATTTAGGACATCAAACAGGCTAATCAAACAGTTTATTCAGGAGCTGAATCTCTCTCTCTCCTCCTTTCTTATGGCTTTGACACAAAGATATTCAGGCTGGCCTGCACTTACTCAACACCAGCATGCAGATATTGACCGTGTGGTCATCCTGCGGAGGTTTCCTTAGTCACTTAAAGTGTATACTAGGATCATTTGTTCTTCCTCTTGAATTTAAAAAATAAACCCTTTCTGCAAAAACATTTTTGCTGTGCTTCAAATAAGACATTTTCATCTCAACTAATGGGTTGTTCTCGCCGCTTCTGCTTCTTGTTGATTGATAGGTTCAAGCAATTCTGCGAAGAAATTGGAACCAATATAAAATTCAATTTGGAAACAGCTTTTCCCACTCTGAAGCTCTCCGCAGCGCATCCTACACGGTGTCTACCATCAGTGATGTCCAAGGGTACAGTCACGACTGCCCCACTGAACACTTAAATGGAAAAAGCATCCAGGAGTTTGAAAATGTTGCCTTAAAGCCGGAAAAAATGTATGACCTAGTCATGTGATCGTAGAGAGCTCTCACCTGTTTCCTGCCACTCGAACCTATGATTTTATAGCCGGAAGATTTAACAGCGAATGGATTTCTTGAATGCCACAAAGAAAGCCCTCAAATGAAATGAGACTTGTGTTGATAAGTGTCCAACCCTCTCTCTATGGGGGAAGAGCCTCAACTGATAGTCTTGGCCAGTAAATGCTCCCACTGGGCTGGTTTCGAGTAACCAACCTGTTAACTGTGGAACTGGAAAGAAGCTAAACACAATCACATCTTGGGAGCTGCCAGGCTTTGGAACCCGCACAGCACTGCACGCACGCACAAATGGGTGACCGCACCTTCACACCCGCGCTGACCAGAGAGCTCTGCGCTTATCACCCGAGGAGACCTGTGGTCATCTGTTGGAAGTGAACGGTTTTCCCAGAGGAGACTCCAGCCATCTTTATGATGTCTCCGGTGGACTAGATGGAGTTTGTTATCTCTGTCATCTCATGTTCTTCTCTTTAGGGAAAGCAGCTGAGCAGAATGCCTATGGGTTTCTCAGTTGCTGCTACAGACAGTTCTATCCTGTGGCATATCCAGTCTGACACTTGGTGAGCAAAAGCTAGAATTTACAGTCTTTCTGAATCACTAGGGAGACGCATTGGTGGAAGCTGCAAACCCCTGTCAGCTACTTTCAAAAAAAACCTTAGTGCAGGCCTCGGAGGAGATCAGTTTCCTGAATCAGCACATAGAAACCTTGGCCTTTCCATTTCTACTGTGTAGACAAGTGATCACTCATTTTACGTGAAGGGAATCAATGAAGGATTTCTTTTTATCTTCTAAATCTGAGGGAGAGAGAGAGAAAGGGAGAGAGATTGATTTTGTGCAAATGAACCTGTAAATACTTTGTCATTTTATTTTATTGTTTCAATTCTAAACAGAACCTCGGTAACTTTGAAAGCAATTAGATAATGAAGCATTATATGCAACTTAGTATCTGAGGCTGTATCTGGGCTGATTTTATGGTAGAGTCCTGAAGTCTATATTTGGTAAATATTTTAAGGACAACCAGATACCAGCATCAGAAGACTGAGAACTAATAACAAACCCTAGAAATACCAGTGGTTAAATATGAAATATTTATATAACAATGCAAAGCCATAACTTTACAAACACATTATCTTTGGTGTGCTGACATATTTCTTCAATTTTGATGACGACTCAATGAAATCAGGAAATTTTTAACACCTACAGCAAGAAAAACTAGTCTGCTACACGAGCAGGCTTTAATTCACTAAAATATCCTTTACTGACTTTTACTAAACGAAGCTATCTAGTTTTGAAAAAGACCCAGGTTATTTTTTTAAATGAACCATAGAGGAATTTTATCTATATAACATACACTGTTTCAGTATTTCAGTAGACTACTGTAGGTGATAGATAACACAAGCCAGGGAAAGCCTTAAACTTAGCATGGAGAAGAAACTATCGGGTGTTTAATAATTAAATTAAGACAGAAGAAAGCCTTGTTCCTGAGGTAAAGAGACATCTAAATGGATTCAGTTCTTCTAATATTGCTTTGTTCTGGACTTTCTGAAGGACAAGATTGATTTCAGTTAGTAAAAGTCAGTTTGGGGAAAGTCAGGTATGTGTTTTTTGAAGTATGTCAATCAGGTTACAACGGACGAATCAGAAGTAGTGACTCAAGCTGCAAGAGTTGTTTAGCATCGTCAAGGAAAGTAATTCGGATTGTCAAGAACTGACACAGTAGATGATCTGGTATAAATATTTGTAATTTATACAGGCGAAGGTGTAACTAAGGTGGGTTCAGTTTTGTGGATTTCATAGCAAGCCTTCATCAGGAGGGAATGCAGATGGTTCTGGACTCTCAGCTGACAAAACTGCACAAAACTTCCTTTTACCACTCTCAGATTTTAGCTATTTATTATTCAGAGGTCTAGATTCCTATCCTTGCTGACAGTGTTCACGTGGCTCTGCATTCTCCTCCCCAACTGTCAAGTATTAGCCGTAAACGATAGCACAGAATGCTGTTACCAGAGAGCGTGTTTAAAAGGTGGTGTATGTTTCCGTTGTATTATTCTTTTACCGTATTGAGTGTAGCTGAGATTTCCTTACTGCCAACATCGTCTGCCGAGTGATCCTCAGCCGCGCTGGTCTGAGGTTTGTCAGCTTTAGTTTTGTGATGATAGTTGGAACTAGGCTTGTAAAGCTGAAGTGCCAATGAAAACTTTCTGTATTGCTTGTAGACAACAAAAACCTGACAGTTTTGAAGGGAAACTTCTCTGGTGCCTAAAAACTAATTTAGAGAATTTCTGGTATTTTAAAAGTTAGATCTATATCGTTTTTCTACAGTTGTTTCTTATAGTCATGGCTGACCTTTTTAGAAGTGACTTTGTATTTTTTATTGCTAAGCCATTCATCCTGGAGTTTAACGTTTGTTCGAATATAGCAAACTGTGTAGAATTTAGCAGAACTCGCAGTGTTCTCACTGCTTAGATAGTTTAATGTGAACATTTTAATTTCCTTTGTGTTTTAATGTACTCACAGAAACATTACCTGTAAAGCATATCCAAGATGTTCCAGTCACTTAAAAGAACGTATGTTTTGTCTATTTAAAAATCTCTTGTTTAGATCTTATGAGAATGTTAAAGCTAACATTGATGCTCACTCATCTCCTCTGAGGAACAAAATAACTGAACCTCTCACAAAGTTCTTGCCACAATTGAGGTATTTTGCAAAATAAAAGATGACGCCTTCAGCCTTTTCTTTAAAGACTTCAATAAACTAGTAAGTGTATTTAATAAATTAATTAAAAAGATATGAATTTGTTTTCATGCTAAAACTACTACATGCACAGGTTTTTACACTGTGAGAAAAGGAAAATTCTCTTACAGAGGAACACGCTTAGGGAATCATCTTCCTTTCTGCACTGTATTTCAAAGTGTGGGTTTCTGTTAAATATTAGAAATAAGAAGAATGAAAGTTTTTCTCAAAAGAAAACACGGTCATAACCTCATACAAATAAAAACTTAAATGTGTCAAAGATTTTGTTTAACTCAATAACTGATGTTGGAAAGAGTAATATGCCAAAGGAGAATTTAAAATACCATATATGCTTGAGAATATAAAAATACAAGTAAATATACAAAATGTTTGTATTTAAGAATACTAATCAAGTATACATATTGGTAAAAGTAGGCAAAATAGTCAATACATTTAGACCACACACCCAGGAGAGACAGACATTAAAATAATGTACTAGTATTGATACAGAGTTAAAATATAACATAAGGCTTACATAAGAACAAAGTGCTTACATTTAACATAACTAATCCCTATGACATTTTGAACTATTCAGTGGCAAAATGCTAAAATACAATAGAGCCAACTAGACAGATCATATTACCTCTTAAATTAATCATTCATAAACAACAAGGCTCCGAGTGAGATCCTAATAACAAATGCCAATACACACAGAAAGTGGAGTCAGCATTGTTTACAGCTGAGGTTATGTTATTACATTATGAAACAAACCTAAGTCTACCAAGTGTTCCAAGCATATACTACTCCAGAAGCACACAGGGAATAGTATAGTACGAAATGGAATTCCTCCAGACGGCGTTTACCGTTGGCACGGTGTCTGACAATCTGTTCCAGCTTACTTTTTAACTAAAGGATGTAGCGAGCACACACAACGGTAGGTTTAATTTTCAGATACAGTGGATTCTCCTCCCCCATACTCTTACCCACGTTCCCGCCCCGCCCCACCCCCTGTGCCCTTCCGTCCCCCCAGTGCTATTGCCACCCTTCCTGGACATGTTTTCTCCTCTCCCGACCTCCTTGTTAAGTTTGTAACTTACAGACTTACACCCACGCTCACCTCTGTTTATGCACACACACGTAGGCATTAAAAGCTAAGGTTTGTGTATAGGAGAGGGTCTGTGGTTTTGTCAATGAATCTTGGTTACTGACTCAGTGTAATGCGTCTAGGTCCATCAGTTATTTCCGGGTTCATCAACCTCCTTTCATTATTTTGCTTTTCTTTATAGCAGAATAAAATTCAGTTGTGCATATACCCTGGATTCTTTTTATTCATTTGTCTATCGACAAACATCTAGGTTGATTCCATTTCCTTGCTGTTACAAACAGTGCCTTAAACACGGGTGCGTGAGTACCTCTGTAATAAGACACAGAGCCCTTTGGCTGTGTGTCAGGAGCGGTATAGCTGGATCACATGGACATTCGGTCTTTAGTGTTTGGAGAATATCCCCCTGATTTTCACAATGCCGTACTATGACAGTGCACTCTCACGACAGCAGGAGTTCCTGTAAACACAAGAATCTTTGCACAATGCTGCTTTGCTTTGAATCTATGAAAACTGCGATTCAAACGTTGCAAATAAATTTACAACCTAGTTTACAGCAGATGCAGCTATTAAAAAAAAAGTTGTTGAACTAAAAATCCAGTTTCATCTCTCTTATAATTACAAAATGAAATGGTTTGTGTTCCAACTGGGGACCATTTCAAAAAATCCCTCAGTTGACCCCAAAACAACCCTTCCCTTGAATCAAAATTGACACGCTAGTCTCTAAAAGTTCTGTAAACATTTACCTCGGCTTACAGCATGCAGGAGCAAAGGGTGGGTGATGTGGGAAGGTCATTTGTCAATCTGTTGTTTCATTGGTTAAGCAGCACAGCTTACATCATGCAGGAGCAAAGGATGGAAACAGAACAGAAGTCAAAATGCATCGTCGTTTCTGTCTCATTGTGTTATATGTGGAACATGTGCGCCACGTGTGTTTGTGCGGTCCTGAGCCTCCCTCTGCTGAGTGCCAAGAGCGTCACAAGCTGCCTGCTTCTGACTTTACATACAGGTTCCAAAAGGAGCATACATTATACATTCCTAAACAGAGAATTCATTGCGGCCCAGGGACCCAGAGATGGCCTTCTTTTTCTTTGCTTCATTTTTGTTGTTTTTCTTTATTATTATTACTATTATTATTATTGTTACAAAATGCAGTGCCTGATATTCTAGGTCTACACGCTCAGGTCAGTTTTGTAGAGGGCAGTTTGTTTGTGGCCTGTAATTAACACGTGCTCCCTGAATTCAGGGTAGCCATACATTCTAGCCTGTCTTAAGAGTTTAGATGTGTTTTCTTACAGCTCTGGCATCAATCCTAGTTCTGCATTTGTAGTTCTAGTGTTAGATCCATGGGAAGAAAAATAGAAAGAGGCATTGGCTTCTGTTTCTCCACTTACCGTTCTCAGCTTTGGGTTTGCTTTGCCTTGGTATTTCTTCCTGTGCTGACAAGTGATCAGAATCAAGGAAACGGGTCTCCCTAGAACATAAGTCTGAGCTTGTGAGTGTACCCTAGACCAATAGTGTACCCTAGACCACCAGAGTACCCTAGGCCACCATCGTACCCTAGGCCACCAGCGTACCCTAGGCCACCAGCGTACCCTAGATCAATAGAATACCCTAGACCTGGTGGTGCTCATGGAGGTACCATGTGACGTTTTAGATGCATTTTCCTTCCTGATGTTGGGTTGTACATCTTCTGTGACTGCCCTTAGGTTTCAGGAATGATCTGGGAATGAGCAAAGGGACTTTCCAAAGGGCAGAGAGGGTAGTTTATTCCAGAAGCAGCAGCATATTTATGTGCAAGTCTCCAGGGATTTTGAGTTTCCTAAGAAGCCTAAATTTGAAACTAATTTTCTAGATTGTTAAAATTATTTGCAAAAGGGAAGTAGAAACTTACTGAATTACCTTGTAGTTTTATTTATATACTTGACATCTGTCTAATATGTAGGCTTAATATTAGACTCTTGCCTTAGATGTCAATACTAAGGAAGAGCCTGAATACATATGTTAGATAATAGCACCTTGGTTTTCATAAAGCATATGTATTCCCACACGTGCTTCTACTAATCCTTTCTTGTCCCAAGTTGAAAAGAATATCAAATAGTTAAATATTCTTTTTAAGCCATAGATTTTTCCATATCTCTAATATATATTATAATAATATAATATTAATAATAAAACATTTATTATATTGATTATAATAATATATTAAACCTCACACCTGTGGTCTTCAACAGGTTAAACACAAAATTCTTAGGGACAATATCAAACCAGCTACTAATTTACTATATTATCATTCCACTGTTCAAATATTACACCTGTGAATCTCAGTGAAGCCTTTAACTTTAAAAAAAATTACAAGAAAAAAAAATTACAAGAGCGTCCCTGCAGAAATCATGAGCTTCTTCCACAGTCGCATTTTAAAGTCTAGCTACGCTGCTCTTTCAAAGATCATTTTAGATTCTTTTCTCACATTAAAACAATAAATATATGTTCCATTCTTAAACTTTAAATTAAATGTCAGAATTTTCATGTCCTATTTTTTTATTTAATTACTTTGAAGAATATTAGGCTTACCAATATTTTTTTTTATTTAATTACTCGGAAGAATATTAGGCTTACCAAATCCTTCCCTCTCCTGTCTGGTAACTATGTGTGAGACCTGATCTCTGCCAGAGGTGGGTATCACATATGACTTACAAAAGCAGACGTAAAATTCAACACCTCTTCCTCTTTCGTCTATAAAAATGCATTCAGGTTTGTTACACATTAGACAGACTGCTTTGACTTCCATCTTTCTCAAATTGTCCATCACATATCTGTGTCTGGCAGCAAACACGGATGGAAAGCTCTCAGCATACTATGTATAATGTAAACAAATGAGTTGATTCCTTAGAACTGATTTTGCGGACACTCAAAAGGTTCCCTGAGGTCAGTCTCCCGGTAGCACAGTCTGGTTGCTATTCACCTCATCATGGTTGGTTTCCATCTCCCTTCCAGCCAGCTGCATCATCTTCAAACACCAGCTCTTCTTTCCTGTATCCTCACCATTCTGTCCCTCATATTATCTTCCCCATTGGCTTACCCTGCTTGTCCCATTTGATGAGAACTTCACACATAGTAGGTTCTCAGTATATAAAGGTTTCATTTTTCTCATCTAGCAAAGCTGTATCTGATCTGTAGAGGAATTGCAATCCTGTGGTAACTGAGAATGAGTTTTTGACAGCTTTAGCTCATGTTACATTGTTACCAGATTATTAAGACGAGCTAGTGCCCATTTCTGGTTCTAATCGGCACAAACAGACAAGAGACAAACTAGAAGATACAACAAAGCGCTCTCAAGAACTTCTTACTGCCCCCTTAATAACCAGCTTGAAGGAACTATCTGAAAAACAAGAACTGGAAGAATAAAAACGTGGTTTTAAAATAGTTTCTGGAAGAAGGAATTGACAAAAGCGGAAAAAGCCCCGCTACTGTACAAAGTCAGGGAGGATAGGCACGTCCTTTCCTCATTGTCTCTTTGTTTTCGTATCGAAAGCAGTTCATCCCTTTCTGCTCTGTTATTTCCTGTTGGAAGCGTCTGTCCACAGTAACTGCAATGGAAAGAAACCCTTTTCATTCATCTGACACCACCATTGAGCTATCACACACGGCAGTAGGGTCTGCTTGGCTTCTTGCCTCTTTGGAGCCATAGCCAGCAAGGCCAGCGCATAGAACCAGGATCTGGAACAGGGTGGAAGCGATGGCCCTGAGCTGCCCTCCGACCTTCGCTTATTTTTGTGGTTTCAACTATCCATTTCCTCAGATGGGGGTGGGTCGCAGCAACAAAAAGATTGTCCTGAAATAAGCCGCCGCCATTTCTGAGAGGTTCTAAGGGTTTCAGAGGTGTTGATGGGAAAGCGCAAACCAACAAGCAAAGATTTGCAAAGAACGCAGAAAGGGATTTAAACGTGGAATAAGACTTTGCATGCAGAGGCAGGAAACTGGAGGCCTTCTAATGATTTCAACGAAGTGCTTATCAGCTGTGATGTGACAGTTATGGGTGCCCCCCTGTGAGGTAGGTGCCCCCCAGTGAGTTAGGTGCCTCCCAGTGAGTTAGGTGCCCCCTAGTGAGTTAGGTGCCCCCTAGTGAGTCAGGTGCCCCCCAGTGAGTTAGGAGCCCCATACCGAGAATGGTGCCCCACTGCCAAGTAGCTGGCCCACACCGAGGTAGGTACTCCACAGTGAGGTAGGCACCCCGTAGTGAGGTAGGTACCCTGTTGCCAGGTAGGTGACCCAGGGTCAGGGAGAACAGTTTATTCTCTATCTTCCAGAAAACACTTGCTTGATTCACAACTTTTTTCTGTTGTATCATAGTGAGCCACATTTATCATTTATCAGATTGCAAGGGAAACATCTTTTGTTGTTGTTGTTGTTGTTGTCTGAGACAGGGTTTCTGTAGCTTTGAAGCCTGTCCTCGAACTTGCTTTTGTAGACCAGGCTGGTCTCGAACTCCCAGAGATCAGCCTTCCTCTGCCTCCCAAGTGATGGGATTGAAGGCATGAGCCACTACTGCCCAGCTGAAAACTATGTTTCTTGAGAGGTAAGCCCTACCCATTAGGGACTAATAGATGGAAACCAGGGTCCATGAACTTGGATGCAAAGAGAACATCGTTGTTTTCCTTAACTGGCTAAAATTTAGGATTTCTTCCCACTGTATATAGGCATGAAGAGTTTCAGCTCAGAAGAGCAACGGTTAGCCAACAGGAGCGTGCCTTGGAATTTCCTAGACAGCTTGGTGGGAAACTCACTGCTGATTGTCAGTCTAGGCTCACTGAGAACTTGGAGTTAGAACGTCCTCAGACGCTGCTAGTGTGCCTGATCCAGGCGCATCCTGAAGGCTGTTGCAGCGCATTGCTCAAAAGGGTGAGCAGTTCTCACCACTGAGACCCGGAGCTGTTTAGCGGTTATTGTCGTGCAACCAAGGGTTAATGCAGCAAGATTTGGATCGCGCATCTACAGGGATGCTGCAATTGTTTACGTTTTCTAAAGAGGGTTAGATATTTGCTGAGGGGTCCATGCCTTGAAAGATTGGTCTCTTCGCATGATAACAATATAAACAAATACAAATAGTCGCAAATTTATCAAGAATAAACAAATTTTACATCTATGCAGGAGAAAAATACAGGAGTTAGGAAACTGTATTTAAGGACTCTACCCAGAGTAATGCAT